TCCAGCTCCAGCAGCACGGCTCCAGCGCCGGGCAAACCACTCGCGCAGCTCCTGCGGAGAGAGTAGCTCCCGCCTCGATGAAGCACCGCGAGAGGCCACACAAGCAGACCCAGCACCCCCTGGCTCCGCACCCCCAGGCTCAGCACCCCGAGACTCAGAACCCCCAGACTCAGCACCCCCAGGCTCAGCACCCCCAGACTCAGCACCCCCAGGCGCAGCACCCCCAGACTCAGCACCCCCAGGCTCAGCACCCCCAGGCTCCGCACCCCTGGACTCAGCACCCCCAAGCTCCGCACTCCCAGGCTCAGAACCTCTAGCAGCACCAGAGTCAACAGCTACCTCGACAGGCTCGACTGCGTCTACCTGGGACACACCTGACGGGGCAGGACCCTGAGGGGGGAGGGGGTCTACCGGGGGAGGACCTGGCGCAAGGAAGAGCGGCGGCGGGGGGAGGGGCGCAGTGCGGTAGGGGAAGAGACGGTAGTAAGGCACCGACTCGTCAAAGGTGATGTCCTGGGAGGACAGAACACGGCGCGAGGTGGGGTGGTAAAACTGCCACCCAGGCGCGTCAGGGGGGAAGCCAAGGAAGACGCAGGGAACAGCACGGGGGGACAGCTTGTCCGCAGACAAGTCGCGGACAAACGCCCGAGATCCCCAGACCCGAAACGCAGACGCATCGCCAACCTTCCCCGTCCACCGCAAGGTGGGGGAGGTCTCTGGCAAGGAGACCCGGGGCTGAAGGTTGAGCTGATGCGCTGCGTACTGAACCGCAAACGGCCACAGAAAATGGGGAGCAGCCGCATGGATCATGGACGTACGAGCGACGTCCATGACCATGCCAATGCGGCGCTCAGCAATCCCATTTTGCTGTGGAGAGGCCGGAAGCGTGAAGGTCTGGCGGATGCCCTGTGCACGACAGAAGGCTCCCAGACGGGCAGAGGAAAACTCCCCGCCTCTGTCAGAGTGCAGACGCAGAACAGGAAAGTCCGAGCTGAAACCCTCTCTGAGCTGGAGACGAGCTGCGCGGATCCAGTCGATCAACACCTCAGCGACGTCACCCTTGCTGCGCAAGGGGAACACCGTGGTGTAACGCGAGTAGTCGTCAACCACCAACAGGAAGTAACGCTCGTGACCCTGGCCACGGACGCGGGCGGGGCCCCACACGTCCATGTGAAGAGTCTGCAGCGGAGCCTCTGTCGGAGGAAACTCGGAGGAGTGAGGGGCGGCGCGCTGTCGCCCCTCGACGCAGGGGACGCAGGTAGGGGCAGGCCCCGGAGGTAGGGGAGGTAGGGACCGGGGGAGACCAGAGACAAGGACACGGGAGGCCATGCCTCGGAGACGAGGCAGGGAGGGGTGACCAAGGCGGTGGTGCCAGAGGAGAGTCTGGTGGGACAGGAGACGACACGAGCAGGGCGCAGACTCAGGACCAGACCTGGACGCTGCAGCAAACACCTGACTCGACGCAGCTACCTGACCAGACTCAGCAACCGGAGGAGACGCAGTAGTCAGTGTGTACAGGCTCGACCCCGGGCGACGGGTAAACGTGGCCAAGTGTCGGCCCGTCCGAGCACACGTGCAGTGGGTCACCCGCTGACTCGCAGGAGTGAACTGGTCAACCCCCCTATCCTGTAGATCAGCTCCACTCACCAAGTTTGTAGAGAACGAGGGGAGGTAGAGACCCGACAGGGTGCCAGAGGGGGCTGCCGGACACGGTAAGACAGTGGAGAAGCGAGCAAGGACAGGACCCCCAAAGGGGTCCGCCAGGGAGACCGCAACCGGCCGACTAAGCGGCGTAAGCGTGGTGCGGTCTCGAAAGAAGGAGCGGGAAGCACCCGAGTCAAGGGTGAAGGTGTGTAAGGCCTGAGCCGACGTGGTACCTGAGAGAGCAGACTCACCAGCACCTGGGGCAGCAGACTCACCAGCACCTGGAGGAGTAGACGCACTAGCACCTAGAGCAGCAGCCTCACCAGCACCTAGAGCAGCAGCCTCAATGCCCGGGTCAGGCGGAACACACAGGTAACAGTCACCCATATCACTAGTAGGCAATGCATACATAGAAGTGAGGATGGCATCATAGTCAAGAGCATAGATATCTACCCTCTGCCTAAGCAGCTCCACCCAGTCGGGGAGCTCAGCGTCGTCGCCAAACTCTGTACGCCAAGCGTCGCTCAGACGGGCGAAGCAGCGGGACTCTGTGTGACCACGCGTCCCGCAAGGCTGACCAGTCCGGACACCCGTGCAAATAACGTACTGGCAGCGAGCACCACTCAGCGACCCTCTACTCTGAGCGTACCACTCACGAAGCTACTGGGGCGAAAGAGTCTCGCACTGACGACGCTGCTGCTGCACAGGGCCACTGCAAGAAGCTCCCGAACTACCCACTCCAGGACGACTCCCAGTACGGCCACCCCGACAACCCCAACTGGCGTACCACTCACGAAGCTGCTGGGGCGTGAGGGACTCACGCGGACGTCGCTGGAGCTGCATCTGGCCAAGCCAGGAGCAGTAGTAGCAGTAGAAAGAGCAGTAGCAGCAAGAGCAGCAGTAACAGTAGTACGGGCAGGGCAGTGCTCACCAGTGGCGGAAGGGGCAGGTGTACGACGGCGGCAACGGCGAGGCCGCTACCACTTTAGGGCGAGGGCTCCGTGGCAGCTGCAGGGGCGGCTGCTCCAGGGGCGGCTGCTGCAGTGGCAGCTGCTCCAGGGGCGGCTGCTGCAGGGGCGGCTGCTCCAGGGGCGGCTGCTGCAGTGGCGGCTGCTCCAGGGGCGGCTGCTGCAGGGGGGGCTGCTCCAGGGGCGGCTGCTGCAGTGGCGGCTGCTCCAGGGGCGGCTGCTGCAGTGGCGGCTGCTCCCGGGGCGGCTGCTGCAGTGGCAGCTGCTCCAGGGGCGGCTGCTGCAGGGGCGGCTGCTCCAGGGGCGGCTGCTGCAGTGGCGGCTGCTCCAGGGGCGGCTGCTGCAGTGGCGGCTGCTCCAGGGGCGGCTGCTGCAGTGGCGGCTGCTCCAGGGGCGGCTGCTGCAGTGGCGGCTGCTCCAGGGGCGGCTGCTGCAGTGGCGGCTGCTCCAGGGGCGGCTGCTGCAGGGGCGGCTGCTCCAGGGGCGGCTGCTGCAGGGGTGGCTGCTCCAGGGGCGGCTGCTGCAGGGGCGGCTGCTCCAGGGGCGGCTGCTGCAGTGGCGGCTGCTCCCGGGGCGGCTGCTGCAGTGGCGGCTGCTCCAGGGGCGGCTGCTGCAGGGGCGGCGAACCACGAGGGGCCACGAGGGGCCGCGACAGGGCCGCGAGGGGCCGTGAAAGGGGCCGCGAGGGGCCGGGAGAGGGGCCGCGAGGGGCCGCGAACGGCCGCGGAGGGGCCGCGAGAGGGGCCGCGAGGGGCCGCAAACGGCCGCGGAGGGGCCGCGAGAGGGGCCGCGAGGGGCCGCGAACGGCCGCTGAGGGGCCGCGAGGGTCCGTGAGAGGGGCCGCTAGGGGCCGTAAGAGGGGCCGCGAGGGAGTGGCTAAGGGGCCGCGAGGGGCCGTGATAGAGGGACCGCGAGGGGTCGTGAGTGGGGCCGCTAGGGAGCGGCTAAGGGGCCGCGAGGGGCCGTGAGAGGGGCCGCGAGGGAGCGGCTAAGGGGCCACTAAGGGCAGGGGACGCGGGACGCGACTCGGGCAGGAGTGAAGCGCGCTCCGGGCAGGAAAAAAAAATTTCGAATTTTCGGTGGGCCCTAGGAAACGTTCCCACTAGGGAACCTGCTCTATACCATGTGAAAGAACAAGGAATGAATGAACTAGCAAGCAGGTGGGTACAAGTAGGAAAACCTAGAAATGTTGTACCCCATATAGTCTACCCCACTACAGCCTACACAGACTATAGCATATAAGTTTGACACATATGCGATTATGAAGTGGTGAAAATTCGAACAGTAGAACGAAAAAACGAGCAATGCTATGCAACACCGACATTGTGGCTTGGCCTATTTTATTTGCGTAGGCCGACTCTACCCTGGACAGCGATGCTAAGTTAGCAAAAGAGGTCACGCAATGTACAAGGATTAAAGATGGTTTTCAATATTTTGTATCAGGGTCTACAGATTTATGAAACAAGGCTCGACGTTTAACGTCGTATGGGTTGCGTAGGTATACATTTTCAATCTAAAAGTACTAATATATCATAAGCATAATGAAAGTATAATATGATCACAAATGCATATGTAGGTGATTGCTACTTTGGAATGGGTGAATGATTAAACGTGCATTTAACGTGCTACATAAGGGCTCCTGTTTGGAGGGTAAAATAGATACCGTGGATTTTGCTTGCGTGTGCGATTGATGACGTTTATTTGTAATGGATTTTATAAATTGCACTTGATGTATGAGAAATACAATAGGAAGTTTATATTGAGTAATATCTTATGCTTTTGATGTTTTTAATTTGCGATTAATATGTTGGATTTCGAGCTATAATATGTTAGACACAACCTTTTAGCAATCATGATATGAATATGGTCATAGTGGAACAATCTTAAGCTAAAGTATTTAGATGCACTATATTCAGGACCACACTAGTCTGTTCATTTTGTATGAGTTGTCTTAGAAATGATGAGTTGTCTTAAAGCCCGAGTTCTACATGGCAATTTTCAAGTTCAAGATTCCTGAATATGAATTCGCAAAAAAACATGTTACCACCCGAAGTGGAGGATATCCGTCGCGATCCAGAGGGGAGGTTTTGCGACGTTGTTCCATGATTGGCCAGCGACAAAACCAGTCATTCTGAGTAAAGGGTCGGAGGGCAATGGAGCACTGTTCACTTTCAGTAAACTTGAAAACCATGTTGTACTAAATGGCAGGCATATTGACAGCCTACGTTTACTTAGTTCACCCGTTTTTCACGCCCAAACTTTCTCCGTATCACTCCTTTTCTCCGTAGCAGCTGTATCAGTACAGCAACCTATTTGGTGACAAATACGAACAGCCAATCATAAAACCAGTCGGAGATGTCCCATTTATACAATAACTAGAGAGCTCACATGCGTGTGCGGTGCGCACCCAACCGGATATAGTTACTCGCGCGACGCCAACACGTGCCTGCACGTCACAATTCCATCCACCCCCCCGGCGTCTAACCCGGGTTGCGCATCTAGACGGTCGCACGGTCGAGGGTCAAGTATATCCCTTCCGACTGTTGCTCTCCCTTCCGCCGTCGCTCTCCCTTCCGCCCGTCGCCCTTCTTTCCCCCTCGTCGCCCTGCCTTCCGTCCGTCGCCCACCCTTGTTCCCGTCGCCCTCCCTTCCCGTCGCCCTCCCTTCCCGTCGCCCGCGCTTCTTCCCATCGCCCTCCCTTCCCGTCGCCTTCCCTTCCCGTCGCCCGCGCTTCTTCCCGTCGCCCTCCCTTCCCGTCGCCCTCCCTTCCCGTCGCCCTCCCTTCCCGTCGCCCTCCCTTCCCGTCGCCCTCCCTTCCCGTCGCCCTCCCTTCCCGTCGCCCTCCCTTCCCGTCGCCCTCGCTTTCCCCGTCGCCCTGCCATCCACTCCCCGTCGCCCTCGCCTTCCCTCCCGTCTCCCTTCCCATCTCGCACACTTGTCACCCTCCCTTTTCTCTCCCTACTCCCTCTTTTCCCTCCCTCCAATAATCGCCTTCCTTCCCCCAACTTATACCCCTTCCCTGCTTCCCCCCATCCCCTGCCCTGCTTCCCCCCATCCTCTTCATTCTTTCCCCGTATCCCCAGCCCTGCTTCCCCCCATCCCCTTCCCTGCTTCCCCCCATCTCCTTCCCTTCTTCCCCCCATCTCCGTCCCTGCTTCCCCCCATCCCCCTCCCTGCTTCCCCCCATACCCCTTCCCTGCTTCCCCCCATCCCCTTCCCTGCTTCCCCCCATCCCCTTCCCTGCTCCCCCCCATCTCCATCCCTGCTTCCCCCCATACCCCTCCCTGCTTCCCCCCATCCCCTTCCCTGCTCCCCCCCATCCCCTTCCCTGCTCCCCCCCATTCCCTTCCCTGCTTCCCTCATCCCCTGCCCTGCTTCCCCATGTCTCCTGCCCTGTTTCCCCCAATCCCCTTCCCTGCTTCCCCCCATATCCTTCCCTTCTTCCCCCCATCTCCGTCCCTGCTTCCCCCCATCCCCCTCCCTGCTTCCCCCCATACCCCTCCCTGCTTCCCCCCATCCCCCTCTCTGCTTCCCCCCATACCCCTCCCTGCTTCCCCCATCCCCTTCCCTGTTCCCCCCCATCCCCTTCCCTGCTTCCCCCCCATCCCCCTCCCTGCTTCCCCCCATCCCCTTCCCTGTTCCCCCCCATCCCCTTCCCTGCTTCCCCCCCATCCCCCTCCCTGCTTCCCCCCATCCCCTTCCCTGCTTCCCCCCCATCCCCCTCCCTGCTTCCCCCCATCCCCTTCCCTGCTTCCCCCCCATCCCCTTCCCTGCTCCCCCCCATTCCCTTCCCTGCTTCCCTCATCCCCTGCCCTGCTTCCCCATGTCTCCTGCCCTGTTTCCCCCAATCCCCTTCCCTGCTTCCCCCCATATCCTTCCCTTCTTCCCCCCATCTCCGTCCCTGCTTCCCCCCATCCCCCTCCCTGCTTCCCCCCATACCCCTCCCTGCTTCCCCCCATCCCCCTCTCTGCTTCCCCCCATACCCCTCCCTGCTTCCCCCCATCCCCTTCCCTGTTCCCCCCCATCCCCTTCCCTGCTTCCCCCCCATCCCCCTCCCTGCTTCCCCCCATCCCCTTCCCTGTTCCCCCCCATCCCCTTCCCTGCTTCCCCCCCATCCCCCTCCCTGCTTCCCCCCATCCCCTTCCCTGCTTCCCCCCCATCCCCCTCCCTGCTTCCCCCCATCCCCTTCCCTGCTCCCCCCCATCCCCTTCCCTGCTCCCCCCCATTCCCTTCCCTGCTTCCCTCATCCCCTGCCCTGCTTCCCCATGTCCCCTGCCCTGCTTCCCCCAATCCCCTTTCCTGCTTCCCCCCATCTCCTTCCCTTCTTCCCCCCATCTCCGTCCCTGCTTCCCCCCATCCCCCTCCCTGCTTCCCCCCATACCCCTCCCTGCTTCCCCCCATCCCCCTCTCTGCTTCCCCCCATACCCCTCCCTGCTTCCCCCCATCCCCTTCCCTGTTCCCCCCCATCCCCTTCCCTGCTTCCCCCCCATCCCCCTCCCTGCTTCCCCCCATCCCGTTCCCTGCTTCCCCCCATCCCCTTCCTTGCTTCCCCCCATCCCCCTCCCTGCTTTCCCCCATCCCCTTCCCTGCTTCCCCATGTCCCCTTCCCTGCTTCCCCCCATCCCCTTCCCTGCTTCCCCATGTTCCCTTCCCTGCTTGCCCCCATCCCCTTCCCTGCTCCCCCATGTCCCCTTCCCTGCTTTCCCCCATCCCCCTCCCTGCTTCCCCCCATCCCCTTCCGTGCTTTTCCCCCTCCCGTTTCCATCGCTTTCCCCCTCCCGTCGCCCTCGCTCTCCCCCTCCCTTCGACCTCGCTTTCCCCCTGCTCACTCGCATTCCCCCTGCTCACTCTCTTCCCCCTTTCTCACTCTGCCCCCCCTTCCTCACTCTGTTTCCCCCTGCTCACTCTCTCCTCCTCACTCTATTCCCCCCTGCTCTGTTCCACCCTGCTCACTCTCTCCTCCTCACTCTAATCCCCCCTGTTCTGTTCTGTTCCCCCCTGCTCTATTCCCCCCCGCTCTATTCCCCCCTGCTCTATTCCCCCCTGCTCTATTCCCCCCTGCTCTATTCCCCCCCTGCTCTATTCCCCCCTGCTATATTCCCCCTTGCTCTATTCCCCCCTGCTATATTCCCCCCTGCTCTATTCCCCGCTGCTCTGTTCCCCCCTGCTATATTCCCCCCTGCTCTATTCCCCCCTGCTCTGTTCCCCCCTGCTCAATACCCCCCTGCTCTATTCCCCCCTGCTCTATTCCCCCCTGCTCAATACCCCCCTGCTCTGTTCCCCCCTGCTATATTCCCCCCTGCTCTATTCCCCCCTGCTCTGTTCCCCCCTGCTCTATCCCCCCCTCCTCTATTCCCCCCTGCTCTATTCCCCCCTGCTCTATTTCCCCCTGCTCAATACCCCCCTGCTCTATTCCCCCTTGCTCGATTCCCCCCTGCTCTATTCCCCCCTGCTCTATTCCCCCCTGCTCAATACCCCCCTGCTCTGTTCCCCCCTGCTATATTCCCCCCTGCTCTATTCCCCCCTGCTCTGTTCCCCCCTGCTCAATACCCCCCTGCTCTATTCCCCCCTCCTCTATTCCCCCCTGCTCTATTCCCCCCTGCTCTATTCCCCCCTCCTCTATTCCCCCCTGCTCTGTTCCCCCCTGCTCTATTCCCCCCTCCTCTATTCCCCCCTGCTCTATTCCCCCCTGCTCTATTCCCCCCTGCTCTGTTCCCCCCTGCTCTATTCCCCCCTCCTCTATTCCCCCCTGCTCTATTCCCCCCTGCTCTCTCCCCCCTTGCTCTCTCTCTTCTCACCTCCTCACTCCGTTTCCCCCTTGCTCACTCGGTTTTCCCATTGCTCATTCTCTTTCCCCCTGCTCACTCTCTTTCCCCATTGCTCATTCTCTTCCCCGCTGCTCATTCTCTTTCCCCTTGCTCATTATGTTTCCCCCTGCTCATTCTGTTCCCCCCCTGTTCACTCCCTTCCCCCATGCCCACCCTCTTTCCCCCTGCTCACTCCCTTTCCCCCCTTCTCACTCTCTCCCCCCCTCCTCACTCTCTTTCCCCCCTGCTCAATGTCTCCCCTGCACTCTGTTTTTTCCTGCTCATTCTGTACAGGTCCCCAGCACCAGGTGTAGGGAGGGACCCACAAGTCCTGCTTTTTTGCTGCTGTGTATGCAGACAAGAGTGGGAAAAGACATATTATTGAGTAACTTGGTTCTTTTTTTACTAGATTGTTGCACTTCGTAGGTGGTCAATGGTCACTCTACTCCATGTATCAAATTTTAGTTATCATAATAAGCATACAACATTCCCACAGCCATGTATCATACCTAGGGGTACTATCAAACAACCAACATTCCAGCCGGTAAGCATACAAAAGAATGACAACTGACAAGGAAGCAACACGAAGAGGAAGAAATAAAAAGACACTCCTGGAACGGTAGGAGACAAACAGAAGGACGACCAGGGGAAAAGAGGGACAGAGAAATGGAGGAAGGGACGTATGGAGGAAGAGAGGAACAGAGGAAGGGAAGGATGGATGGGGAGGGAGGACGGGGGAAAGGGAGGACAGGCAGCACCACGTCTGCCTATGCTGTGTGACTCTGCCCACCGCCATCCACCCACAGCGCCCCAAGCAGCTCCCTGGTGCAGAAAAGCACAAGGGATGAAGAGGTGCCGCTGGGCCGAGGGCGGTGTGGGAAACACCTGGAGGGGAGGGTGAGAGGATCGGATGGGGAAAGGACGGATGGGGAGGGATGAGGAGAGGATGGATGGGAAGAGGAGGGAAGTGGTGAGGTGGGATGGGCGGATGGGGAGAGGACGGGAGGGGGTGGGGAGAAGAGGGGATGGTGAGAGGAGGGGATGGGGAGAGGAGGGGACGCGGGTGACGAGGGAAGGGGAAAGAAGCGGATGTGTATAGGAGGAGATGGGGTGAGGAGGAGATGGGGTTAGGAGTATGGTGAATGGGGTATGGTGGAATGGTGAAAGTAGGCATGGGGAATGGAAGGATGGGGAACGGAGGGAGAGTGAATGACGGGATGGGGAAAGGAGGTCTGGGGAAACGAGGAAAGGGGGATGGGAAGTAGGATGGCAGGGCGAGAGGAAGGGATTGAGAGAAGGGGGGAGGAAGGGCGGAAGAGGGGGATGGGAAGTAGGAAGAGGTGGGAAGTGGCGACGTGTGACGATGCCACGGGGTGCGGCGGAGATGGGGTGAGGCATGGGGAGATGAGGGATGGATGGATGAGCGATGGAGAGGTGAGGCATGGGGAGATGAGGGATGGGGAGGTGAGAGATGGGGAGGTGAGGGATGGGGAGGTGAGAGATGGGGAGGTGAGGGATGGGGAGATGAGGGATGGGGAGGTGAGAGATGGGGAGGTGAGGGATGGGGAGATGAGGGATGGGGAGATGAGGGATGGGGAGATGCGGGATGGGGAGATGCGGGATTGGGAGATGAGGGACGGGGAGGTGAGGGAAGGGGAGATGAGGGATGGGGATATGCGGGATGGGGAGATGAGGGATGCGGAGATGAGGGATGGGGAGATGAGAGATGAGGAGGTGAGGCATGGGGAGGTGAGGGATGGGGAGATGAGGCATGGGGAGACGAGGGATGGAGAGATGAGGGAAGGGGAGATGAGGGATGGGGAGATGAGGGATGGGGAGACGAGGGATGGGGAGATGAGGGATGGGGAGACGAGAGTGTGGGGTGTGACGTAGCAGGAGGAAGGAGAGTTGCAAGGCGCGGGGAGTCCCCATTCTCGTTAGAGGGGAGGGAGCGTGGGCGACGGGAGGGAGGGAGCGGTAGTAGTGACGGATGGGTGTGCGCGTACATGACGTAAGGGGAGTGAGCATGAGCGATGGGAGGGGAGTGAGCGTGGGCGACGGGAGGGGAGTGAGCGTGGGCGACGGAAGAGAGTGAGGAGGGGCGAAAGAGGCGTCGCGCAAAGGCGACGGGAGGGGAGGGAGCGTGATCGTGCGTCAGGAAGGAAGCGTGGGCGACGGGGGGGGGGGTGATCATCCTCTTTGGAGGGGAGTGCGCGAAGGCGACGGGAGGGGAGTGCGCGAAGGCGATGGGAGGGGAGTGCGCGAAGGCGACGGGACGGGTGTGCGCGAAGGCGACGGGAGGGAAGTGCGCGAAGGCGACGGGAGGGGAGTGCGCGAGGGCGATGAGAGGGAGTGAGCTATGGCGATGGAGGGAAGTGTGAGACATTGACGCGAGAATGGTCGCGTGGGCGACGGAGGGGAGTGAACATAGGCGACGGCGACGAGTAGCGTGCATTTTCAAACCAATCTACACACATGGCTTCGCTTTCTAACCCCCTCCAAGCACCAAACTCGTGGTGCAGTGTCGCACAGTTGGGTGACGAATGCTGAAGCTCGTCGCTGCCTGGTTTCGCTTTCGCACCTGTTCAGCTCTCGAAATGTTTTTTTTATGCCTTTCGCGAACACACTTAAAGCCCCCGCGTCACTGTTGCAAAAAACCATGCTGACCTCGGGCTTTAAAATGATTCATCCACAAGCAGAATTGTGTCAATTCTGTAAATTTGACGTGGATTTCACGTGAGCCAAATTGTGGCAGTGTAGATTTTTGTAATACAGCCCAAAAGTCACTCAAACCTGCCCAAGCCTCTTAGAAGAAATAAAAGTTAAAAGTTGGCTCGTTTTGCCCCCAAGTTGCATTTCGAATTTGACATCTAGAGCACCTTGAACCCACCTCAAATTTGAAAAGAAATCCTCCGAAGCGCATTCTCTCTTCGAATCCCCCCTCCCCCTTCGAGTCCTTCCTGCCCATCCTTCCCTCCCATGTATCGCTTTGCCACAGCTACTACTCAGATTCAGCTATTCCTCACAGCTAGCACAGAGCAATTCTTGACAAGCTCTTCACAAAAATTCTTGGCAAACAGTGCCCTTCCAACTACTCTGATATGTGGTTATGGGAGTGTTGTCACGTGATACTACTGTAGTTCCAAATCTAGTGTGTGGGTTTTTTTTGTTAGGATTATTTTGTGCCCAGGTTCTGTTAAAATTCGCCCTTGAATTCAGCGTGCAATTCGCCTCATCGTCCCCTACCCTCCTATTCGCTTACGAAATTAGCTTGCAATTCGCCCGCGACTAGCTCGCAATTCGCCCCATCAACGTAACACTGTACGCTTATTTAAAAAATCGTTTCTTTTCTCGTTTTGCTCTGGCAGAATTTTTTCTTGCCAGCGCTACACATTCTTCATTTCTTCCGCTGTCAACTCGATTTCTCCGCTGACTTGGTTTCTTGAATTTTGAGCACCTGCTCTACTCAGCTCTCTCCTGTGCGCATCTGTTCCGTTTCCCTTCCCAGCTGTCAATTCGAACTCTGTCATACTCTTGGTTCCTCGAATTCCTCCTCTACCTGCTCTCTCTGCCATTTTCTCCCAACCCACCATCGCCCATCCTGCTGTCTAGCTATCATCCAGCTATCGCGTTTAACCAACACCCAGCCGTCGCCTCTCCCTCTTATCCCGTCGCACCTCCCTCCTACCCCGCCGTCGCCATTCCCTCCCATCCCGCCGCCACCTCACACCCCGTCGTCGCCTCTCACTCCCACCTCCCCGTCGCATCTCCTTCCCTCCCCGCTGTCGCCTCTCCTTCCCTCCCCGCCGTCGCCTCTCCTTCCCTCCCCGCCGTCGCCTCTCCTTCCCTCCCCGCCGTCGCCTCTCCTTCCCTCCCCGTCGTCGCCTCTCCATCCCTCACCGCCGTTCCCTCCCCGCCGTCGCCTCTGCTTCCCTCCCCGCCGTCGCCTCTGCTTCCCTCCCCGCCGTCGCCTCTGCTTCCCTCCCCGCCGTCGCCTCTGCTTCCCTCCCCGCCGTCGCCTCTGCTTCCCTCCCCGCCGTCGCCTCTGCTTCCCTCCCCGCCGTCGCCTCTGCTTCCCTCCCCGCCGTCGCCTCTCCTTCCCTCCCCGCCGTCGCCTCTCCTTCCCTCCCCGCCGTCGCCTCTCCATCCCTCACCGCCGTCGCCTCTCCTTCCCTCCCCGCCGTCGCCTCTCCTTCCCTCCCCGCCGTCGCCTCTCCTTCCCTCCCCGCCGTCGCCTCTGCTTCCCTCCCCGCCGTCGCCTCTCCTTCCCTCCCCGCCGTCGCCTCTCCTTCCCTCCCCGCCGTCGCCTCTCCTTCCCTCCCCGCCATAGCCTCTCCTTCCCTCCCCGCCGTCGCCTCCAGCGACAAGTACACGAGCGCAAGCGCGAGTTGGTGCGCGAGCGCAAGTCGGTGCGCGAGCGCGGTTTGGTGCGCCAGCGCGGATTGTTTTCTGAGGCACCATGATTATCAGGTGCGTTCCCGGTCCTTTCATCCTCCCTCCCCCCTCTGAAATTTCCGCCCCCCCCTCCCCCACCCTCCCCCCCTCCCTTTTTTTTTTGCTCTATGTGTACATTTTGTCTGTCGATTGGTCTCCTCTTGCATTGCACTTTCATTTGAAGAAAAGGAGAGACGGAGCTCGAGGGAGAGCGTGTGAGAGAGCGCGTGAGAGTGCGTGTGAGAGTGCGTGTGAGAGAGCGCGTGAGAGAGCGCGTGAGAGAGCGCGTGAGAGAGCGCATGAGAGTGCGCGTGGGAGAGCGCATGAGAGTGCGCGTGAGAGTGCGTGTGAGAGAGCGCATGAGAGTGCGCGTGAGAGAGCGTATGAGAGAGCGCGCGAGAGAGCGCGTGAGAGAGCATGTAAGAGAGCGCGTGAGTGTGCGCGCGAGAGAGCGTGTGAGTGAGCGCGTGAGTGAGCGCGTGAGAGAGCGCGTGAGAGAGCGCGTGAGAGAGCGTGTGAGAGAGCGCGTGAGAGTGCGCGTGAGAGAGTGCGTGAGAGAGCGCGTGAGAGAGCGCGAGAGAGCGCACGAGGGAGCGAGTGAGAGAGAGCATGAGAGGGCGCGATAGAGAACGCGTGAGAGAGCGCATGAAAGAGTGCGTGAGGTAGCGCGTGAGATAGAGCATGAGAGAGCGCGTGAGATAGAGCATGAGAGAGCGCGTGAGAGTGCGTGTGCGAGAGCGCGTGAGAGTGCGCGTGAGAGAGTATGTGAGAGAGCGTGTGAGTGAGCGTGAGAGAGAGCGCGCGAGGGGGCAAGTGAGAGAGAGCATGAGAGGGCGCAATTGAGAGCGCGTGAGAGAGCACGTGAGAGATCGCGTGAGAGAGCGCGTGAGAGAGCGAGTGAGAGCGCGTGAGAGAGCCCGTGAGAGAGCGCGTGAGAGAATGCATGAGAGAGTTAGTGAGAGCCCGTGAAAGAGCCCGTGAGAGAGCGCGTGAGAAAGTGCGTGAGAGAGTGCGTGAGAGAGCGCATGAGAGAGCTTCATGAGCACGCTGCAACGTGCTCATGAACTAGTGTGTGTCGCTTATGCGAACTACTTATGCAAACGCGTGTCGCTTTCTGCCCTAGTGCTTAGGGTGCCGGCTTCTAAGATGTTGACTTCCCTGTTTTTGCTTGCGCAGGGCGTGTGAGCTGAGAAGGGAGATGAGGGAGGGAGTGGGAGGGAGATGAGGGAAGGAGGGACGGAGGGGTGTAGGGAGGGTAAAGGGGAATAGGCTAGCGGTGATTTATGCACTTCTGAATTTCATCTGGATGGTTGCGTGTTTATTATGGTATCTGTGCTTGTTTGCTTGTGTGTCGCTGTGTGCAGGGAGTGAGAGCTGCATTTGCTGTTTTTTTCTTTCCTGTGCAGGAAGTTTGAGCTGCAATCATTGTTTATTGTGGAGAGCAAAGGGGGGGTTGGGTGGGGAAGGAGGGGAAGGGAGATCAGGGAGGGGGGTAGGGAGGGGAATGGGGACAAGTTAGTGATGGCTTATGCTTTGGTGAACTTCATTGGCTCTGCTTGCATGCTTAGTATTATTAGCTATATGTTTCTGCGTTTTTTTTTCTGTCTGCGTATGTGTGAGCTTGTATGTGTGTGCGTACATGTATGTAGTGTTGTTTGTGTCTGTTTCGGGGTGAGTGCTAAGTGCCTCGTGTATGCAATTGGGGTTGTGATCGTTGGTGGGGCAGCTTTGCTTGCCTCTTCCATACCAGATCAGTCGCAGTTGCATCAATGATGCATTTTAGCATTAGCTTCGAAGCATTCACAACTGTTGTCCCTCGTTTTTGTACAAGTGTAAGGAAAATCTCTTTTTCCTTACTTCGCGTCCCTGCTCAACGTGTACATCACTGTAGCACCACAGTCAGCACCGTTACCACTCGCAATCCTCGCATCGACAATCCGCCCGCCACCTTCGCACGTCGCACCCCGACCTCGCGGCTCGGCGGGTAACCCGCGCTCCGGGCCTCCGCTTCGACACTTTTGCCAACCTCAGTCCCAGGCCCGTCGTACGACAACCACAGTCCATTACCGTTACCACTGTAGTTTCGCTATATATTCTTCGCTCATGCCTTCGCTCATTGTACTCTTACTTCGATAGTGCAATTCTCGTTCGTTCACTCAATTGCACTCGTAACACTTGGTATTCAGAGCCTACGATCTCTTCTCGGACCGCACCCACACCTTCGCTTCCCCACTATCTCAATTTTTGGGGGGGGTAGACGTCTCTCAGCGACACAGCACCGCCGCTCGTAGTGCTCTCGCGTAAGCACGCACGGCCACGACTGAGGCTCTCGCTGAGCTCGCCCGACACCCCCGCCATGGCCGAATTCACGCTCGCCACATTGACGCAGGAGCAGCTCGACCGTCTGGTGCGCCAACTCGAAGATTCGGCGCTCGAAATTGCGATGCTCACAGCGGAACGTGACTCCGCGCGTCAGCAATCAACGGTGAACACTCCAGCAGCACCACACGCACCAACAAATGCACCTGCACAATCGGACGAGCCAATCGTCATCTCGTCCGGGACACCAACACAACACGACAGCGTGGGACAGCGCTCGGGCGCAGCCAGTGATAGCGCCGCCCAACCAATGCCTGGCATGGGAGGAAACAGGGGCGCACCAAGCCCGCGGGAGCCTCGCGAAGCCCGTCGGCACGTGGAGTTCGCGGCGATAAGCGGCGAACAGGCCATCATGGCACCAATGCCACTCAAGCCGCAACGCCCGCCCTGTTTCGACCCGAGCCAGCGTGGAGGTCCGACGGTTCAATCGTGGGTTTTCACGATGAACGTCTTCTTCGACGCGAATTACGTCGAGTCGGACGCAGCGAAGATTCGGTATGCCGTTTCGCTGTTAAGGGGCCCCGCCATGGACTGGTGGCGAGTCATCGTGACGTCGCCACGCGCCTACGAGCCACCGTCGCAAGAGGAAGGGCCCACGGGTCCAGCTGTCACCTGGAGTTCATTCTGCGAGACCGCCCAATACAGCATGTGGGATGCGTGGTGCGCAGGGCTTCGGGCGCGCTTCGAGCCGATCGCGGCTTCTGTTTCGGCGCGTCAGAGATTGCGCACTTGGCGGCAGCTCGGGTCGGTTCAAGATTACACGAGCGGTTTTCTCGCACTTTGCGAGCAGGTCGGCTACATGCACGAAGCGGAGCGGGTGGACCGTTACGTCGGAGGGCTGAAGCCGGATATCTCGCACGAAATCATGCTGTGGGGACTCTCAAACTTCAACAAGATTCTCGCGCTCGCCGAGAAAATCGACATTCTACGCCGACCGAGACCGGGGTCCTACTACGGACATCGTCCTCGGGGACCGATCGAGCACGCCACTGTAAACGCTGTTGCAACGAATGCAGCTGCCGCACCGTTTAAGGGGCGCTGCTTTGCTTGCAACAGGCCGGGCCATCGCAAGAGCGAATGCCCAGAGGAGCTAAGGCGCCGCGGAGCAGAGCAGGGGAGGGAGTCTCAGAGGCAGGGAAACGCCAGCAGTCAGTAGAAGTTGGGCCAACTACTGACGAGACTACCTGCTCGCCCAACCGCACCGACCCTCACCGAGTCACAGTACCGATTCACGCCATCGATCGGGCTCGGATGAATAAGGAGGGTACAACGACGGATTGCCCAGTACTGATCCACGGGAAAATACAGGGAGCAGCAGTGAAGATTTTTATTGACGGAGGAGCAAGCCACAGTTTAGTTAATACCGCAACTGCGCGAAAATTACAACTGACGCTTAGTCGCTGCTTACCTGAGATCGACGCACGCTTAGTTGATGGCACGCCGCTGGCCATACGGGAGAAGGTGGAGAGAGTAAAAGTTCGCTGCGGGGGAAACTTCGGGTTTACACAGGAAATGCTCGCGACGACATTGGATGGGCATGATGTTTTACTGGGACGTGATTGGCTACGACGGTACAACCCACGAATCGACTGGACGACGGGTAGCTGCACTGTGCGAAGTAGCGGTAACTGGGTCATGCTACCTCGCTGGCAGTCGCCCGAGTCCTCAACGGTCCACGTCAACGCCATCACGATGAAACGGGTTGTCGCCGCTGGAGCTGACGTGTACGCAGTAGATATAGCATTAGTAGGAGTAGCGGAGCAGCCGAGCGATTTTCAGAAACTGTTGGCACCAGTACCGCCCGAACTACAGGAACTGTTGAAACGGTACCCGGGGATTTTTCCAGACGATTTACCGGAAGGGCTGCCACCTCAGCGGGCGCATGATCATAGGATCGAGTTAGAACCGGGGGCACAGCCAGCTGTACAGCGCCAGTTCAGACTGACACAGCCCGAGCTCGACGAACTGAGGAAGCAGTTAGATTATTTGTTAGAGAAGCAGTTTATTCGACCAAGTTCGTCACCGTTCGCCGCACCGATACTGTTCACACCGAAAAAAGACGGAGGGTTTCGCATGTGCATCGATTACCGAGCGCTCAACAGGGTAACAGTCAAGTCGCGATACCCCATTCCCCGCGCCGACGAACTGATCGACCAACTGCGAACAACACGGGTGTTTTCGAAAATAGACTTACGAGGGGGTTACCATCAGATTCGGGTCGAACCATCGGACTTCGCCAAGACAGCATTTAGGACTAGGTACGGGTCGTTTGAGTACACGATGATGCCTTTCGGGCTGACCAACGCGCCCGCAACATTTCAGATGACCATGAACGAGGCGTTTAGGCCACTCTTAGATAAATGCGTGATAGTTTACCTCGACGACATCCTCGTCTACAGTCGCGACAAGCAGCAGCACTTAGCGGATCTCGAAGCAGTATTTAAAGTTTTAGAGGAACATCGGTTACTCACCAAGGGCTCTAAGTGCGAGTTTTTTCGGGACGGACTAGAATTTTTGGGGCACGTTATTTCGGAGGCTGGAGTTGAAATCGACCCAAAGAAGCTGGATACGGTAAAAGCGTGGCGTCCCCCGACGAACATCACGGAACTGCAGAGTTTTTTAGGGTTCGTTAATTATGTTCGTCGGTTCGTCCCCGACATGGCACAGTTGACTGCCCCGCTGACGGATTTACTGCGAAAGGGGGTCGTTTTTACGTGGGGGGAGAAAGAGCATGCTGCCTTCTCTGCCCTGAAAAATGTTATCTGTTCACCGCCCGTCCTGCGCATCGCCGACCCACACCGCCCCTTCGAGGTTGTTACAGACGCAAGCGACATCGCCATTGGAGCCGTACTGCTACAGGACTTCGGCAACGGCCTACAGCCCATCGCATACGAGTCACGAAAACTGCATCCACCCGAGCGAAATTACCCGATACAGGACCGCGAAATGCTCGCGATCGTGCATGCGTTCAAAGTGTGGCGCTGCTACTTGACCGGCGCAGACGTGACAGTACGGACAGACCACCGATCACTACAGTACCTCCGCGCACAGCCCCACCTCAACCCACGACAGATTCGGTGGCTCGATTTTCTCGAGTCAAACTTCCACTACACAGTCACCTATAAAAAAGGAGCCTCGAACATCGCCGACGCACTGACCCGCCCCACTGCCCAGATCCACGCGATACTACTCGCCCAGACCAGCCCGCTACTGACAGGACTATTTACCCACAGATATCAAACAGACCCATTCTTCACAGGAGGAAATTCGCAGCAGTTCGCAGCAGCCAAGGGAGTCTATTACGTAAAAGCCGGGACCGACCGCATCTGGGTACCAGGGTACACACTGCTACGGGAATTACTATTACAAGAGGCACACGACGGGGTTACCTCAGGACATTTCGGGGTAGAGAAAACACGGCAGCAGCTGCAGTGGTATTACTACTGGCCCGAAATGTTGACCGACGTGCAGCGACACGTGGCATCGTGTCCCACTTGCCAGATCATGAAGTCAACACGGAAGCGGCCGGCGGGACAGTTGCAGCCAATCCCACCTCCAGAGCGTGCTTGGCAGCAGGTGACGATGGACTTCGTCACGGGGTTACCGGCCGGGGCGAGTGGAAATGACGCGATCATGGTCGTCGTCGATCGACTGACGAAAATGGCACACTTCGCAGCCTGCAAAAAATCAATCACAGCCGAAGAAACAGCCCGCCTCTTCATCTCTACCGTCGTTCGACTGCACGGGATACCAGCATCAATCATCAGCGACAGAGACACGAAATTCACCAGCAACTTCTGGCGGAACCTGTGGCAGTAGTTCGGCACGCGACTACAGTTTAGTTCA